TTGAGAGAGTGGAAAACAGCACAACTTTGAATACACACTGCTACCCTCTCTTTTGCCTTTGCCCCTGCCTTGGTATAACAAAGAACATTTAAAAAAACCCTTACATTACCATATGCAATTTAAAAAAATCTTGTAGCACTCTTAATTCTCAGTTATTTTTCATGTATGCACTCTTACGTAGTCCTGATTCATTATTGCTTTTGCTTACATTTCTCCACTTCCTTGTTGGCTGCTTATTTAGAAATGCTAAAAATAATAAACGATACGGGTAGGACAGCTTAGCTTTCTCTCAATCTCTGTGTTAATTCTGGCTGTCGTGCGGAGACAGATTCTTTAGTAACTACAGTAATTCACCTGATACTTGACCTGTTGCTTTGATTACCAAAGATATAAATCTAAGCTATCTGAGCATTTACTGTATGTATCACCTGGGGAAGTGCCAGAAAGCAGGAATGAAATATTGGCTCAGACTTAAGGAAACTGTTATGCTAAGGGTAAAGTTTCAAGAGAACCGAGCATTTACTGTACATACTATAAGGGAACAACAGGTCCTGGATGAGACGTGATGAATTGTTATGCTCGCCTCAGCCTGGCTAGAGGCACTCTCTAGTGGTACAGTTCCAGTCTCATGAAAACACTCTAAAAGACTAATTGGACTAATCAGAATAGGAAAGATCTGGTGTACTACGTTATAACAAATCCTCCGAAATGTGTATACTGTTGCCCACACAGGAATTGCCATAACCTTTTAAAAATTCAACATTTAAATGGCACGAACAATACAGAGTGAGCAATCTTTAAAAATGTACATGGATCTGAAAGGACGAACAAAAAAAATCATCTCCACACCCCACCTGTGAAGCATCTTGTTGTGAAAGAGATAAAAGATAATCAAAGGTGGGTGGAAAATAATTCCCAGGAGGATGAAAGAACAACAAAAGAGTAAGACTGACACAAAGGCAATTTCCCAATCCTCCTGCATCTATGATGTTGGTGTCAAAACTGGTTATTAATCTAAAACATGATTCAAGTCCCAGTGAACAAGAGGGTCTACCAGCTTATTCCTCCCTCTCCGGTACAAGTTACACGACTCCGTTTTCATGCAAGTGCACTGAACTCCCCCGCCCCCATCACCTCTGCTCACGCACGCTCAAAAAAGAAGAGCCAGGGGCTTCGTCTGCGTGGAGCCCGGAACCAGGGGCTCCGTCTGGGTGGCCGTCTCTGAGGTGCCAGAGGGGGGGGGCCGCAGGTCCTAGGATAAATATACAGGTCCTAGGATAAATTCCCTCTGCCTTTGCCATGTACCTTTGCAAAGGACTGGAGACAATTTTCAGTAGGCAGAGAGCAAGCTGGGTGTCTGGTGAGCTCAAGCCCCCAGTGTGGTGGCATACGCGCCCGGGTCTGGGTTTCAATACTCTTGATGCTGTTCCAGGCAATGGAGAGTGACCAGCTAGTGCGCACGCACTCCAGTGCTAGAAGGTCCCTCCTGCACTCTGGCCTTTGCGATGGTCCACACTGAGGGCAGAAATGCTTTCCACTTCTTGCACAGATGGATCAGCTCCATTCCACGAATGACAGGTGCCAAGGGGCATCCTTTTTTGGTGTGGTTTCTAGAGGGAGCAGGGTGAGGGTCCTGGGCCCAGCACTTTGGGAACGTTCCTGATTAATGGGAAGTTATTTATATCCACCAGCTGGCCTGGCCTCCAAAGGGCTCTAGCACATGGCAGCCAGCCTTTAGGAGCTGGCTGTTTTTTGTTTTGTTTGGATTTTTGCTGCCCTCCCGGGAATGCACTAGAATGAGCTTGTGCAGTGCTAACAGACTCGACTCCTGGGTCACTCGCTAGTGCGTCCCACTGCTTTTGTCCCGTGGACTTGCTGCACCCAGCATACAACCCAGAGCTGGCTCCCGCAGTGGTGTTGCCAACAATTTCAGTGACAGCAGGATTAAACCCTCTTGGGGGTTCTCCTCTTTCAAGAAGCTGAACATCCCTAGCAAAGCCTCTGGCAGTTGACAGCTCATAGCCCTTTGTGGGATTGGAGCCCTGGCTCTGGCTTCCAGGCTTTGTCCTCATGTGTTGTGGACGCAGTTCTGTTTCTGTGCTTTGTTTGTCGTCTTGTGCTCGAAATTTTGTTTGCACAAAAATGAAGTTTTGTGGTTAAAGGGAAAAATAGGCCTCTCACCCGCCTCTGCAGAGCAGCCTCTGGATCCACCATACATTGGAGCAGCCCAGTTTACTGCTTTGCTGTCTTCCATGTGGGCTTTAAAATATATATTTTTTTAATTTTCAGGGGCATCTTTGCCCAGTTCCCTCCCACCCATCAGCTGTTGCACCATATGCATCCATGGTCCCATCACACCTCAGTGCCCCAATATGAATGTAGCAGCTGCTAAAGCTGGTGTCCTCCTGGCTCCAGCTCTATGAACCAAGGCCCAGAAACTCATTGACAAAGTAGAGTGATCAGTGCAACTTTGCTCTGAGCCAAACAGCCGTGTCCTACTGAGCACTCGTGAATAATGGACTCCCTGTTGGACAGGGGGAAAAACCGTTCTATGTTTCTAGAGTATTAAGTGTTTCATTTTTTGAATAGCAAGGCACAATCCAGGAATATATTTAGTAGGGGGGAAATTATAGCACAGCTTAAATAGCTTAACCTTTCTGCTATCAATTGGTCGTATTTATATCTTTCACAGTATTTTAATTTCTTTTTCTTATTAGTCCTTTAACCTGCAAGCAATAAATTGTAACGTGCCAAATAAAGCAGCATTTTTTGTCAATGGGCTATTCCAGCTTTAGAGAAAATGATCTATTTTATGCAAATGTTCTGTGTCTAAAATGGCAATTATGCAGTTATAAAGACTTTGGGAGAGTGTGCTTGTTTTTTGTATCTGACATGTAATTTCTACTATATTGATTCAGAACAGCTCTGCCAGAGGGCACAACATAATGGAAATTTTAATTTTAGATGAGATCTAATTTTAAGCAGCCGCCTTAGTGAGGTGTGGGAACAACATGGCAATAAATAAATAAATAAACTAAACATTGTTCCTGGGTTTTTTTGTACTGGTGGCAACTTGTCAACCTAGAAATTAAAAATAAAATTGTGTTGCAGTGCGGAAAGCAATAATTTTTCTGCCTGCGTGTTTTGGTCCTGCTAAACTAGAACTCCCAGCCTGTCATCTCAGCCAAGCTGCTTGCAGGGATTGGGGAATGTTGTCTCGTCTGGGTGACACTTAGGTTTTTCACAGGGTCTCTGCAAAGACCCGCATCAACCAAGCAAAAATTAAACTTTTAATTTTATGGAGACAGTTTGCAAGCTAGCTGTGCAAACTATGTGCATCAAGCTTGGCTGCTCAGAAAACTAGAAGCAAGCTTTAGAGACTTAACAATTATGTTGTCTCTCTCTGAGTTAAACCTGATTTAAACCAACTGAGAATTACAAAGCAGTTAGAGAATGGATGGAGGGCAAATGGAAATAATGCAAATGGCTGTTTTAAGAACAGCTTTAGGACCCAATCCTGTCTCTGGCTGGGGAGATCTTTTATGTGCAGGGAAATCCTGTTGAATTAGGAATAGGATTCTGCCTGATTGAGGGCCTGATCTTGCAAAGGAACTGAGCGCACCTTCAATAGACTTTGGGGTCAAGACTTAAAACAGGGGAGCTTGATGTCTTCCGCTAGCACTGGAGAACCCCTGTAACGTGATTGCTGTTGGTATCAGTCATGGATACTTGAATACCCCTGAGTACAGGGGGCCTGATCCTTGGGGAAGGGAGTGATCAGACTTCCATGGGAGCAGGTCCATGTTACAGCTTTTTTTACAGGAGGTGGCAAGTTTGCTGCCTAGCATTTCTTTTGTAGGTCAGGAATGCTACCTGCTAAGCAATCCCTATTCTAGAGGCTGGGGGGTGGTTGCAGGGGAGATTCCCATACAGGGCTGGCCTTGTTGTAGCTTCACAACTTTAGTGTTAACAGTGGATTGGTTGCACGAGAGATTCCCATACAGGGCTGGCCTTGTTGTAGCTTCACAACTTTAGTGTTAACAGTGGAAGGTCAAAAGAAGTTAAAAACCCCGTACAAACTGCTAGAGCATTTTGTATTTCATATCCCAGACTCACAAAGCACTTTGCATATGTGAAGTCTCCCAGGGCCTCTGTGACTGTGGTAAGGAACACACAGTTTATGTCACCGGCCACTGAGAGGAAACCATTTGTTAGCCTGAATCGGTATTTCAGGATTGTGCAACACCATGCGGAGTATGTTAAGAAGAGCAGCATGTGCGACTGGAAATGTAAGGGGGATTTAGGCAGATGGACTGTAAATCTCGCCTGCATCACAATTGGGCCAGGATGCAGGGATTACCACTGCTACTGTTACACAGAGGCCATGGGAGTTTTAGTGACCCCAAGTGACCTTCACTCCATACGCTCTCCTTCTGTTCAAAGCACAAGCATCAGACCGAGTAGCTCCTTGGGCAGCTGCAGACTTGTTGCTCAGAACCCTTGTCTATCCTGGTCAATTCTTGATTTTGTGCTTCTTGGTCTCTCTGCCCTGGATTGTAAACTCCTGGATCTGAGCTTCATGCTCTCTTGCAGAGGCAAAAGGGAAAACTCAGATCCAGACAGTGCAGGATGTGGGTTTGAAACAGAGTTCACAACCTGAACCTTGCTAGGTTTCATGTGCATGCATCGTGTTACAGAGCTGGGTCTCGATCCAGAACCTGAGGTTTGGTCTGGCCCCATCTCTGCTAACATGGACTGCAATGAATCAGATCGCTACAGAACTGGGTAGACTGCTGGCTGCTGAATTGCCAGCATCTTGGTACTCTAGAGAGGGGTAATGACTAATTCCCTATGGATGCCAGAAGAATTCCTAACTTTCAGCAGAGCAATGAGCTCAACAACGCATCCAGGACAAAGTTAGCTCTTGTCTTTAAAGCGACCCACGAGCAGGACATGGGTTGCTGCAGTGTGTTGCCACTAACTGTTTGTTATGCTCTTAGCTTAGCCTCTCTGATGGAGCTGCACCAGCCGTAGGGATGAAGCTGGCAAGTGCATCATGCCATCATGCATCCCCAGCAGAGCTGCCGCTGAGTGGCCCATTTGTTACGATGGACTGCGCAGCGAGGCGCCTGACGTTCTGTGCGCTGTGTTGTCATTGAACACTGACTGCTTCGGCATGGAGTCCTTCATCGTGGTATCAGAGTACGATTCAACAGGTGCCATGAGCGAGGAGCAGGGACTTGACCGACAGGAGGGACTGGAGGAAGATGAGCGCATGGAGCACTGCGGAGAAGATACAATCATGTCTGACAGCATTGGGCTTGAAGAGAAGACCGTCCCCAGCACTGGCGGGGGCCCGTTAGATGAGATGAGGGAGGCGCAAGTCAAGCTAAATGTTTCCAGTCGAAAACTCTCTCTCCAGGAAAGGTCCCAGTCAGCACAGTCTCCCGGGAGTAACATAGACATGAACGAGCATTACATTTACCCATCGCTCCCTTATTCTCCAGTCACGTCTCCACATTCGTCTCCTCGGCTGCCGCGGAGGCCCACAGTGGAATCCAACAGAGTTTCTATCACAGGCTTGCAGGTAAGGTGTGGGGGAGAGGGTTGGACCTGTGTGCATCACAGACTCTGCACTCCTGTGATGCGTGTATAGTTTCCATAAATATTGGCCTTACTCTGCTGTCTCCTGAGCTCTGGATTCTTTTAACCTGTTGCTTTTGATGCAGCCTTTTATTCTTGCATGGTTCATCTCTATGCTGGAGTATTTTCCTGTCATTAAAGGTAGTTCCTAGCAAGGGGAGTGCGTGAATGACTGTTGGGGGCTCACCATTCGGGGGTCCTGTTTTCTGTATTCTGATGTCTGTTCCATGTGCCTGTTTCATTGAGCTTGCGTTTGTCCTCCCCTTCTGGGCATAGACAACCTGACCTTCTTGTTGGTTTCCCAGCTAGAAATCTGCATGGCTCCCCATGTGCTCGTTTTCAGATCCTCCCAGGGTCTCCAAACAGAACCAGAGAAGTTGCATGACCCCTGACTGATGGTTTTGTATTTAAGGACCTGGTCCTGTGCACTCTTAGGTGTGTGAGCAACTGCTTACTCATGTGAGCAATATGAGCACTTACGTGCATAAGTATGCATGATATTGGTCCCTTGCAGCACTTGGCAAGCTGTTGCCATGGAACAGTGACTGGTTATTAAATAAGTAGGTAGTGTCCTCCATTTTTCAAAGCGGGTTTATTCCTCAGAAGACTTGTGAAATAAATATTGCTCCCATTTTATAGGTGGGGAAACTGAGGCAGCAGGATAGACCCTTTCATCCTTGAACTCTGTACTACTCTGTGGACACTGGGGCTGTGGAGTTAAGTCCATAGATTGCCGCAAGGCAGGCAGATTCCAGCTTGGCTTAGAACTTGGGACTTCCTGGCTGCCAGGTTTAGTCTGAAATCATGCCATTTAAAAGCCTGTCTGGCTGCAACAGCAGTGGATGTAATAGCTGTGATGGGCACTGCAAGGTCTTTACCTTGATGATGGGAGAACCTGGTGTGTCCGTTTTAAATCCCCCAAGAGAGAGGCTGCTTTGTCCGGCTGAGTGACTCTGCTAATGGAGCCCAGCAGTATTTATCACAGCTTGCAGGGCCAGGGGCTGGGGCAGGAAGGTAAATAATGGGAAATGAGACACTCTTTGGGAAGCTGGGTAGGGAGTTCTGTGATCTCCAACAACAGCAGCTGATTAAAAGAGAGGTGGGCGGAATTAATACCTCCAACCCATTCTTTCCTCATTATGTGTTTGAAAGGAGGAAGATGTGCTTGTATTTATGATGCTCATCTTTAGGCATTAAACCTCCACATGTGTTCTGCAGTGGATGGAAAATGTATGGTTAATCTGAGAAAACAGGGACTCTTCTTAAGTAACCACAACCTGGTGGGTGTCAGGGGTCCTTCTTCTTACACCTGAGGTAGCAAAGAGGAGTCATGTCCTCTCAAAAGTGTTCATCTGTGCACGGATGTGGCATTGTGATGCGATACGAGCCCAATCTTGCAAGGTGCTGATTCCCCAGAGCTCCTCGTAAAATAAAAGGCCTCATCCAACCCCACTTAACGGGAGTTTCGTTATTGATGTGAGTTAGGACTAAATTAATTTCTCAGCCCCTTGCATGATCCTGCCTCCAGAGGAAGGGTTTGCAAAGAAGGGTCCCGTGGGGGTTGTAACCCTTGAGGAGTTATTCATTATCAGGTCACTAGCCTGGGGTTCTCCCCTACAATGTACTAGTTGCTGCTGATGGCAAAAAAGCAACAAAACGAGGAGCCTGCAGTTTCTTGAACAAGGTTCAGAAGTGGGTGGATGCTGTCTTCTGCCCACTGCGTGAGAAACATGAAGTTAAAAAAAGCTTTTTTGAAAGATAAGGGCGTGAGCTGTTTGTGTGCCCAGAACCTGTCATCTCTAATGCAGAACAGGCCGCAAACATCTACAGCTAGACAGTGCTTTAGGCATAATAAAAGTATGTGGAGGTTGGTCACTGGCTGTTGAGTAAGGACTAAACTTTCCACTGCCTACAAGCCCTGATGCACTCCAATAGGTCTATAGCCAGTTAATTCCAGCGACTGATCTTTATGTGCACATTTCATGTGAGGCAATGTTATTGAGTGCAATAACTTGAATGCCTGTAATTAGCCATGTGTAGCGATGCCAAATCTCAGCAAATGGCTGTCATTTATTGCTAATGAAATCAAACATTATAGCTACAATCTGAATGGATTTACATTTACTATGCAGATGACTGTGCTTGTTTGGTAAAGATGACATTTATTGTCTAAAGAACATTGTGTCTGTGACTTAAGAGGCTGTTACTGTTTCGCGATTTGTTTTCTCCCTCTCCAGTTAATTGACTCTAATGGTGCTTCTGATGTCTAGAGCCTTTTCCAGCGCTTTGTTTATGAATTATACATTCCTTTTACCTGTGCAACAAACGGAACAAATAAACACGCGATTGTTTGCATCTGCCGCTCGTTCAACCTTGTTCTTTCTTCCTCCCCTCGTAGGACTGCGTGCAGCTTAATCAGTATAAGCTGAAAGACGAAATCGGAAAGGTGGGTATTCTGTACCATAAACTTGGTGGGTGAGGCCCCGGCTGGGTTGGGGGAGCGTTTATTTTTCTGAACCCTGTTAGGTCCCGGTGTTAGAAGGATACCGTGTCCGGCGTGTCAGTGCTGTGAGAGCAGAGGGAGGAGCCCCGCAGTTCTGGCTAATCTGTGGCTTGTAAAGGAATCCGCAGATCAGTTTATACGCTGCTGGTCATGGGGTCCAGAGTGGCAGATGTACTTTTTCTCAGTCAATCCCTGGCAGTAACCTGTGGCTCGTGTGTTTCCGTAGGGCTCCTACGGGGTCGTGAAACTCGCGTACAATGAAGATGACAACACCTACTATGTGAGTATCATTGCTATTGATCGTCTGGTGGCTGGAGCAGCAGACAAGCCTCCTCCCCCCTCCAGGGTCTAGGTAGTCTCTGATATTGCAGGCTGGCTGATCTACCAACCACCTTCCAGCTCTTTAGTACCACTTGATTTAAAGAAAAAATCCAAACCTCACAATGCTGCTAGAAATTCTTCTCTTCCCCAACAAGGGGTAGGCAGTGGCTTGGTAGCTGAGGCTCCTTCCCTGCTTCCCTGAACTGGTGACTGAAAAATATTTTCCCTTACATCTTGGGCTCCTGCATCAGGTTTTTTCAGAGGAAAGAGCGAGCATTAGCTGGCTAGCAAATCATGGGAGGGCAAGGGCACCAGAGAAGGAGCAAGATCAGCCTTCAGGCTTTGCTGCCCTTGTGGAATTAAGACCTTGGGTGGGTGAAGCTAGAGGAGGACAAGCAGGGGAGAGGCTTGGACTTGTGGGGAAGGATGAGCACGGGACGGGGAGCTGTTAGGTGGTGTTGGGAAAAGAAGCCTGGAGACAGAGAGAGAGGGGGAGAGATGCTGCCCTGGACTTGGGGTTTCATATATGTGAGAATGGGCTTCCTCTTTCTTTTCCAAGATGGGTCCAAAAGACTGCTGTGTCCTGTAGGTCGAGGTGTGTTGCTTCTTTCCCATCTCATGCACAAGGCCTGCTTGCTCTGGCTATGGGTCCAGTGTCTGCTCCTGAGCAAGGTATTCATCTCATACACCTGCAGGACTTGGCATCATTTACATCTGAATTGTCTTGCAGGCAATGAAAGTTCTTTCCAAAAAGAAGCTGATGAGACAAGCAGGATTCCCACGTAAGTGATGCGCGGCTGCGTAGCATGTGGAGACCTGGCAAGGTTTGCTGCTGCTCAGCTGTGGGCTGTCAAAGTGAGGTGGGAGCATCTGGCTGCACACACTCTGACAGCAGTTATCCAACATACAAGTTGGCTGTTCTAGTTGCTGTGTGCCTGGTGTCACTGCTGGGTTTGAGTGTGTCTCAGGTTTGGGGCGGGGGCTGGTGTCCTGGAGGAGACACAGCTGGAGGGCTACAGCACTAGCATGGGAAGCAGGAGACCTAGGCTCTAACACAGACTCTGTGCGACCTTGGGCAAGTCACTTAACTCTGCCATGCCTTGATTTCTTTTTCTATCCTATAACAGGGCACTGCAGAGTACAAGTCAGAGCAGAACTGGGTCAATGGCTCTGATGGCCTCTGCTGACAAGTTCTCCTGCCAAAAGGGAAGGGCTAGAATTTTGATCTGTGCATCGTGCACTAGCCTGTAGTGTGGCGCTCGCACCTTACTACACTTGGGTGACAGTATTTGTTGTGTTCAGGTCCTTGATAATGGAATGTATTAAGCAGCATTTTTTTTTTCTTTAAGTGAGCCTCATTAGTGTACACTGCTGTTCACCAGGGCCATTCAGATTCATGCTTCTGGGCCTGGTGTTGAAAGATGCATAGCACCTGGCACCCCCAGAGGAGTCAGTAGGAGCAGTGACCTCCCTGCAATTCAGGGCATCAGGGCTTTCATGCTGCAACCACTGATGAGACGACACCTTGGCTCAGCCACATTAGTTGTGCTTTGTGCTCACCTACCTTTACACTTTTAAACAGGCCGCCCACCTCCTCGGGGAGCCAGAGCCATACCTGAAGGCTGTTCCCAACCAAAAGGGCCAATTGAACAGGTGTACCAAGAGATTGCCATCTTGAAGAAGCTGGATCACCCAAATGTGGTGAAGCTGGTGGAGGTGAGACCAGTACAGACGTTCATTTGTGACACTGCTTTCAGTGCGTGCCAGGGGCAGGTAGTGTTAATCATGGGAATTGAGTGCACTGTGACTGATGGTTTGTCATCCCAAGCATCCTTCCAAGGCACAGCTCTCCTGTGTGGCTGATGGGCTGGCTCTTAAGCTCAGTAATGCTTATTCAGAGCATTCATTTAGCTTGGCACAAGCAACAGCTGTGCTTTGTTTGCAGAGGTACATGGAATTGCTTTTCAGTGTTGCATCTGCAGCCTGTTTCCTGAACACACCTAGTGGGCATGCAGTCCAGCTGTGCTTGGGAGCCAAGAATAAAAGGGCTTCTGTGCCAAGAGGCGCACATTCTTCACTGATCTGGAAAGAGCAGAGGAAAGTTGCATGGGTGTAGTCAAGCAAGACTTACAGGGCTTTCTCTTTGGCAATTCCCAGATCTCAGACGCTTGTTTCCCTTCTCATTTTGAAGGGTGACTTTTGGGGAAATCACTTCCTTTCTCTTGTCACCTTTGCTGCAAAACTTACTGGGGAATTTTAAAAGGGCGAGAGCATTTCAGGGAGGAAGGAAATGGCATTTCCAAGGGCCCTGATGAAGCAAGAATGAAAGACCTCGCGCAAGCTCCAAGGCAGTGCTCTTGTTTGTTTGTTGTAGGGAGGCAGGAAAAGATCTATTTCCTACTCGTGTGAATGAAGTGTTGTGGATCCTAACCATGTTCCAGAGTCCTGAAGCAGTCCGTCTGCACACCCAGGGCTCAAGTACTTCCTATGCAGTGCCAAGCACCTGCAACCCATTGACTTGAATAGGAGTTGAGGGCACTTAGCAACTTTCAGGATGAGGCCCAAAGACAGAAGCATTTCCATTCATCCCCATATGTGATGCAGTACAGGAGTCTGTGCTGGTCTGCATACTCAGCATCACAAGGAACCCTCCAGGCTCTTTATCACAGAACCTGCAGGGAGCTAGATGTGATTGTAAATAGTCTTTCAAGGCCACATGCCCAAGCATCTCGTTTACTCTTGTGTTTTTTCCAGTTTGGTTCTTTTTATGTTTCATCCTTTAGAGATGAATTAGAGAAGTTTCAATAAACCCAATGCTAGATTTGACATTTGTCTCCAAAAAAACCATATTGGCTGGCTAAAACTGTCCATGCCAAAAATATCAACATTGAAGAATGTGCGGACTTAAATTAGCTGGTTTACCAGAGATAAATATTTAACCATACGGGAAGTATTATTGCCTTGTGTTCCAGCTACATCTTTTTCCCTTGAGAATGGAGAATAATGTGATTAGCAGAGTTCAGAGGTACATTTGAAATTAAAATAGCGGAGTTTCTAAAAGACAATGGCTGTGAGAAATGCACCACTTCTAAAATTGGAGCTGCTGACCTGGCCATTAAAGAAATGGAGACTTTCTAAGCTTTATTTGAAGTGTAATTAAACTGGCATCCACAAGGCAAAACTCGTTTTACTTTATTTCTTCATAACCTGCCTCATTCTGTTTTATTCCTATCTATCCATTTATAAACAGGCATCAAACAGTGAAGTAGTCTCTGCACTGCCTGTGGTTACATCACAGTTCTCTGCCACATAGAGCCAGAAGTTCTGAACTGAATCATGCTCTGCATTTACCACTAACGGAGACTTCCCTCTTACCTCAAGCAGTAAGGACCTCGCATCTTAGAGCAAGATGAGCCATGTTCTGTCCCCAGTGATGTTGAGGTTACCTGGCTGCAGTGTTTATTATAGAGACAGCCATGAAGTCTGAGGTGGCTGCTGACTCGTCACTGTGTATTGGGGCTCACACACGCTGTGTGCCTCTGACGCATCATACATACCGTCTAATACATGTCGGATGGATGTAAGCCTTAGGTGTTAATTTGGGGCTTTTATCCCTGTGGCTGATGCATTATATGCAATATTTTGTGGTGGGCGTAATATAACAAGGATATGGGCCTGTGGAAATGCACATTGCTTCTCCCCCACGCGGAGTCATTTCTATTCCTTTTAACTTGTGTTGGCAGGTGCTAGATGACCCCAGCGAAGACCATCTGTACATGGGTAAGCAGGCCGCTCTTTCCTCCTGCCCTGCTGGGCCTGCCACATGGCAATAACAGTGTTTGATGTTGTTGGCTTTTGTTTGTGAGAATCTCACTTTGTGGCAGTATAAAGCATTTCCCACGGTTTTGCAGGGGAGATTGTGAAGCAGGTTAGGCAAGCAAAGTGGTTAATTTCTAAAAAGATTCAGTGTATGGTGGCAAAGTAATTGAAGAAAACTTATGGCAGTGAGAGTTTCCCTGGTGTGGGAATATGAGATAAACAGGTCCCCTTTAATTACAGGAGCATGTGTGGGACCCTGCACCTGTTCAGAAAGAGATCAAACAGGGCACTGCCCAGTGAGCCTAGACTTAGCAGGGAGCCAGCTTGTAATTAGATGTCTGGGACCACTTGAGAGAGCCAGGTGTCCAGTTGTAACCTGTAATGCTCTTAAGTACTATCCTCTTGTCTTACCCAAATGCTGGGTAAGCACTGTTTCAGTTTCTGAGGAGGTGCTGGCATAGCTGCACACACTCTCTCACTCTCTAGGATGGAAAGACCTGCCCTCCCCACTGAGCTGACGGGGAACCAGAGTTCAAGGAAAAAAGTGATTGTTTAGCTAGCCTGCCAAGGAGGGTTTCATTGACCGTGAGCCTGACCACTCCCATCCATGCTTTACAGAGAGTGATTGAAGCACACAAAGGGTAAAGTGTCCCACTCAAGAGCCTCTAGGTTTGTGGCAGAACTGGAACATGGGAGTTGGCCATCCCTGCTCTGACCAGGGACCCAGTTTGGTTGGTGCCTTCTCTCTGAAATTGGCCAGTACCAGACCCACGTACCCCTTACCTTCAAACTTCGCCTGCACTAGCCTGGGGGCTTTGACTTGAGGCAGAGGCACAATAGAAATACATTGTAAGGTAACGTGGCTGTCTGTTGTGGGCACCTCCTCCTGCAGCCACGTTCTTGCTGTTTTCTTTAATGAAGGAGGCAGTGTTCAGTGGCTGGCTACAGCAGAGCATTAGCAGTCTGACCTGGGTATCACACTTTGCTTGGCCACTGATACCTTTTGTGTGTCACTTAACTTCTCTGTGCCTCAGTTACCCCAGCTGTATGACAGGGAGACTCCTAAAGTATCAAAAGGCTTGAGAAATGTTGGCAGAGCATCAAGAGCCCGCCCAGGCTAGAACTGCAAAGACTCCTCATCAGAGAGTGTGCTTTGAAGTGTCTTCCTCCTCCTTGGAGTTCAGCTCCTCCAGCCATTGTAGTTATTTCCTGGTGGAGCATTATGGAGTCTTTAGACCACAGTGCCTGTAAGGTACTAACCCGCTTGAAGGAACGAGGGTGTCATGTCAGCAAAAGTTTTGAGAACTCACTGATTCATCCTCCTTGATTAGAACGACCCGTGCTTCTTCCCCTGTCTCCCTAGAATTGTTTAGCAGTTTGTACCCGAAAATAGACCTGTTTGAGGAAATTAATCACTCTTGACAATATTCCCTGAAGTCTGTTGCCTCATATTGCTCAAAACCACTTAGTGATGATTGGGATACAGATATCCCTCTTAAATAACACGGAGCCGAGCTGATACCTGCCAGATGACCAGTGAAGGCTGATTTCCACTCCTGCCATGATGCCTTTTCTGATCACTGGCTGAGTGCATTAGCATATCAGTCTTGCTGTGATTCCGGCTTTTATTAATTTAGTCCGCACCCTGAGGGCCAAGTTTTTCCATACTGGCAGCTGTTATTCTTAAAAATGTGTTAATGAAGGCTCTGCTAACCATCCTTTCTCAGACAGAGTAATGTCCTTATTAGCGCTGTTAGTTATAGTGGGGCAGCTCTCAGAGTATCTGTGGAAGGTTTAAGCCTTCACATCTCCACTACGTATGAGCTGGAGGTGGGGGGAGTGTGTTTTGCATGTTCTACTTGGGTACAAACTTTTTATTTTCCTGGTTCAAAGGTATTTAAAATATACATCATTTATCTGAGGAACTAATGGGTTCCTTCACAGCTTCTCTCCAAGAAACACACACAAACGCTTTGGCTGGGGGAGGGCTTCAGTTTGTTTCTAGTTAAATATAGTTTTCATTGCCTATACCTTGCTCTGGATTTCTGACCCGACGGTGGAGCAGTGTGTTGATGGAAAAGCTTTAGTTTGCTTAGAATTGTTCCTACAGTCTTTGCATGCTCAGAAGTGGTGTGTGCAAGAAATCCAGGCTCAGGGTGGTAGCGAGCAGGTTATCGGTCTGACACTACAAGGATTCTGAACTATTCAACATGAAATAAGAAGGCAGATGGTACTGGACCCTTTGAAGCAGTGTTGGTCATTGTCCATCCAGTTTCTCTCTGTGCATGTTGGGTGTGTCCTGATGCAGAGACCTCTTCATGCCAGCCTTTGTGTATGCATAAATACTTTTTAAAAAACAAAATGCCAAAAGTGATTCTTCCCTAGTCTGAGTTAGCTTCATTTGGCCAAGTCCAGATTCTTTGCTTTAATCAAAGACACAAGACCATCCCAAACTCTGCATGTCCTATTCAACATAGCATTTCATTACTAAACATCTTTCCATAATTTAGCTATAAAAATAATTGGTTTTCTGCAGGGATCTTGTCTGCAGATTTTCCAGCCTATAAGTATTCACCTTTTCTTTTCTTTGGTTTTTCAGTGTTTGAACTGGTAAAACAAGGGTAAGTATTGAACTATGAGGTAAGAACTAAAAAAGGTGAATCCATTGCATGTATTTCACGTGCGTTTCAGTTTGCTTGGGATAGTACGTCGTATAGGCCAAAGTCAGAGGTATTATGCTAGGTGTTAATCTAGACCTCACCCTCACCCTTGGACACGGGCAGACTCCTTTTCACTTATCTAGCTACTGATGAGTAAGGGAGTCTAAATTGGTGTAGTTTTACATGCCAAGGAGCCTGGAGAAGGTGGAAGTTAAAGTAGGTGGGTCTCTTGCATTCTCTTGCTAGTTGCTTTTCTCACTATGCTTCTCTCTCCTGGCCTCCATGCGAGTTGTATCAACTCAAACTAAATTGCAGTTGCCCCAAAATATAGTTGCTCTCTGTGCTTTGTGCCTATTGGCCAGATGCCAGGTACGGCCTCCCCAGTATCATCCCTCAGTCTTCCTTCTCCAGGGTGCCCCACTTACCCAGAAGCATTTTTACTGTAACAGGCACTTTCCTGGCTGTGCTCATCATGCTCTTCTCACTTGATGCCTCTAGATTTAGGCCCGCTGGGGCAGGTAGCCACTGTCTGTGGGCACCAGCCTTCCTCAGCCCAAGGCATGGATATTTATCGTAATATTATAGCCGTAATCCTAATGGACAGGGCTCTGACGTTTTCATTCAGTCCTTGCTCAACCACTGTTCCTACTGACTTTACCAAGAGAGAGGCCCTTTCTTGTTTCCTGAGCCACAACCGCCCTCTTCAGGGGTGGGAGTAGATGTGGGAGTGGGAACTGTAACCTGGTTACACAGAGCGACAGGTGTGATCCAGACCTCAGTCCTGGTCTCCAGGGTGCACGCAGCTCCACTTGCAAGGGTGAAAGGGTAGATTTAGATGGTCTTTCTGCTCCCCCGAACTGTTTCCCAACACTGTAATATAGAGCAGCTTGAGGAGCACTTACAGCAGGTAGGAGCTGCTGCAGATCAGGGAAGCTCCAGCATTGTTCCCAAAGCCAACCACCAAGAGAAGGGCAAGGCCTGGAGCTATTTCACTTGTTCTTCACTACCTGAGGATCTTCTGTGCTGACCCAGTCCCACAGTGGCCTGCTCTGGTGGCATCAGAGATGCTTTGCAACACTCGTGGTACAAAGTGGCCTCATACAATCAAGGATCAAGTCCATATAATCCATTCTCTTATAGCTGCCCTGGGACTTTGGTTTTAGGCACTGCCTTTTGTAGGCAGAAGCAGAGTTAAAATAAGGTCCCTAACTCCTGTGTTTGATTTATGTTTCCTGTCCACACCTGTAATTGAAAACTACGGGTCGACATACTGAACCACAAGCCCATAAAATCTATGGCACAGCCAGGGCCTAGTAGGTTTTGTTTTCCTGGAGTGCCATAATCTGCAGCATCTACTGAAGGGCAGGAGCGCCTGGGTATGAAGGGGAGGGGCTGGGTGGCTAGCATCACAGGATAGGGAATCTGTCATGTGGTTTGGCTGGAGACATGCTCCTATCCTTATACACCAGGAAAGGAGCTGCTGGGGTCTGGTCCATTCCAAACTGCTCTTTATCTCACTGGCTTTGTTCTGCGCTTTGCCTTCACAGGCCTGTCATGGAAATCCCAACCTTGAAACCTCTCACTGAAGATCAGGCGCGGTTCTACTTCCAGGACCTCATCAAAGGCATTGAATACTGTAAGTTTCCACATGAGAGTGCTGAGATCCTTAAAAGATTGGGCCAGAGCCTGAGGTGGCATTAAGTCACAATTTCTCACTTTGAGTCAGTGGGGCTGTCTCATTTACCCCCGCTAAGGATTTGGCCCTTAATTGCACTGGCACTGTTAAGCAAGGTTGGCATTCCATTAGTACACTTAACTGCTCTCCGCTTCTTTCCGCTGTGCTACAGGCACATACTGCCACTTAAATATCTTACTGCTTCTCTCATCACAGTGCACTATCAGAAGATAATCCACCGGGACATTAAACCTTCCAACCTTCTTGTGGGGGAGGATGGTCACATCAAAATCGCTGACTTTGGCGTGAGCAATGAGTTCAAAGGAACAGATGCCCTTCTAACCAACACAGTGGGCACCCCTGCATTCATGGCCCCAGAAACACTCTCAGAAACCAGAAAAATCTTTTCTGGAAAGGTATATTGCAGTGGCGTTAGGTCTTTTTCAAATGTGTATGTGTATCTACCTGCCCATTTTTCAGCCTTTAATTGTAAGAGCTTGGTAGTAACTGTGTTCTCTTTCCTTCCAAGGCTTTGGATGTCTGGGCCATGGGGATCACGCTCTACTGTTTTGTGTTTGGGCAGGTAATGAGAGCTTCTGTCTAGTCCTGTTCAGTGGTTCAGCATGACTGTACTTGATAGAAGGATGTGCAGGTTGTTTTGCTTGGTGAAGCTAATGTCAGGTCACCCCACCACCTCCATCCTCATTAAAGCCACATGACCAGACAGGTGTTCAGGGGCCCAAGTATCCAGGATCAAGGGGACAGAAGAAACATAGCCTTAATCTACTCCCCAACTGAACTGTGTGCTACTGCCTCCTTTTTCCATGCGGTATAAGAGCCACATAGCCTGTGTAATCATGGTGCAGACACAACCTTTTTAGGTGAGTGCTATCTGCCTGTACTCTAGTGTAAAAGTGGAGCACACATGCAACGTACAGCCCTGCTCTAATGTAAAGCTACTGCTTGAAAAGAGTGTAGTAGGTACACTGTGTTACACCAGTCTGTGTTGTTGCCACAGCTCCCTTTGCTCAAACTGTTACCCGCTCTGCCATCACCTCATGCTGAGGTACTCTTGTAGTCTACAGTCTGCTACTCCAGGGTAATTTGGTCATCTGTCTACTCCGGATCCCAGTGTAGAGTGGCATTTGGTGTAAATTGTCCTGGTAACCGGTGAGTGAGGCTGCAGTTATTCCTGTCTGGAATCACTGATACCATTCAATTTAAAATCTATAACCATGAATCAGGGAAACTCACCAAAATCACAAATGGCCAAGGCCTGCTGTAATAGTAATGGAGTTGCTGAAAGTCCAAGTCAAGGGGTGAGCCTCACCCCAGGCTTTGCACATCACCAAACATTACATTCATCTGACCAGCTGAAGACAACTCTGCTGGGGACACAGCCCATAGAGATCTTACCTGCTGGGTGGGTCACTGAGGGAGATGCCTTAGCCAAGGATACTGGAAACTGGATGGCTCTGCCTGACTCCTTTCCAGGCCAGGGGGGCTGATCTGAGAGGCCTTGCTCATGGAATGTTCCCCTGGCTTTCAGAAAGCCCAAGGATTATATGTTTAGGTCTGGCCATAATGTTCAAGTGGGAGCAGTTGTTAGTCTCAACTTTAAGCATATGCTGCATAAAGATATTGTGTTTTTTATTGTTTTGAAATAAAGTTGAGCACAGTAACGAGAAGCTTCCATGGATGGTGGTACACTCTTCCCAAACGTACTCTTTTCTCAAAGCCTGCCTGGTTCTTTCTGAGCTGCATGACACGTTCTCCTGAGCACCTGGCTTAGCACACAACAAAACTTGTTGCTTACTGCTGTTTTCTTGTTGTTAGTGCCCCTTTATGGATGAGAGGATTCTAAGTTTGCACAACAAAATCAAGACCCAAAGCTTGGAATTCCCAGACCAGTGAGTACTGAGAAGCCATCTAATTACTCATGTGCCTCAGAAAAGGAACACTTCTTTCCTCCGATGCCCATAAAGCATTTCCTGGATAGGACTGGACCTGATCCCGTGAGGTTTTATAAAACCAAAAGCCCAACCACAAGTACTTGTCTCTTGCTAAGGCCAAGTGCAGCAGCACTTCCTTCCAAGCATGAGGTCAAAGCTTATTGATTAAGAAATGTTGGGGGAAAAAAAAGATTTAATTTCCGGAGACATGATGGGAATCAATTAACCTCTCCAGTAGCCACATGGTTTTTAGTCTGGGTTGCTTTCTTGTCTGTCTGATCTTTCCCTGCACTCTGATCAGACAGAGTATAAAAACATGAAATTATACTATTGGACTGCAAGCCATTGGAGTGGGAGTTACTACTTCCTTGTTGAAGCTTCATCAGGCCCTGCTACATTGGGATGGGGGGAGGAGGGCCTCACTTCCCAGGGCAGCCAGCAAATAAAGATGTAACTAGGCTGTGTAGTGCTTCTGATTCCCAAATTTTTTACTGCTCCATAATCCCTTTCACCATTTAATCCTACTGCTGACTTCTGCCAGTTTTGGTCAGGGCTTGGCTGAAGTGAGTCTTGAACCCTGGATTTTGGGATTGGGCTCCCTGGTGCAGCAGCAGTGGGTGTGAATGATCCTCAAAGGCTGCTCCACATAGCACTAGCCTGAGCCATCTCCTCTAGCACAAAGCATCCTGCCCAAACCTCCCTGCTCTCCCCAGTCCCCAAGATAAGCTCATGTGATAGTGCCTCTCAGTGAGAAGTGGCTGTGGGTTCTCTAACTCTTCGCTCATGCTCATTTCCTCAAGGCCAGAAATTACAGAGGAGCTGAAGGATCTAGTTACACGGATGCTGGATAAAAACCCTGAATCCAGGATTTCAGTCCCAGAAATCAAGGTACTTGTTGGTCAGATGTGAAGCCTTGCTGGTGAGTTCTGACCTGACTGCTGTCCTGAGCTGTTAATTTATCAGGTTTTCTTTGCTTGCATTTTTTTGGGCTCAGTTTGATCCACCATTGCCAGCTCCACTCTCCCTCAAGGGCCACGGTCTTAAGGGAGTTGTTTGACTCATTTTAGGGCTTTATATTTGGAAGGGCAGAGTGATGACCATACATCTAGTAAAGCCCAGAGAGGGGCGTGGAAGCCATGTGCCCCTGAAAGTATTACCTAGTGTGAGCCCTCTTGGTCCTGTGCAGTTGGAGTCCTGGTTCACACTGGACCAGGACCTGGACCTGTGTTTGCAGCTTTTTGGCTCTGCTGTCATGGCTAGAGCCCATCTCCAGGGCCAAGGATTTTGGTACTGCTTGTTCTTGCTGCGCTGGGCTAAAGGGTTCTCACTACTGCATCTGGAAAGAAGAGCTGCACTTGCTGCGTCTGTGTTCTTTTACTGATGAAAAAGAGGAAATGGCTTCTGACAGGCTGCATTATTCATTGCAGTTACACCCCTGGGTCACCAAGAACGGAGTGGAGCTGTTGCCGACAGAGGATGAGAACTGCACGCTCGTTGAGGTCACTGAAGAGGAGGTCGAGAACTCTGTTAAACACATCCCAAGCCTGGCCACAGTGGTGAGTTCTGGGGACAGCAGTGTGCTCCATACATGCCTGGGAAGGACTTCAGGTTGGCTACCCCCACCTGGCAGCACTGACTGCTGGTTTCAAGTGCCTCCTGCCCCCTGCTTTGCTACCAACACGCTGAATTACAGTGCATTTATTGCTGAATCCCTCCTTTCCCAATGCACCCATGTGATAGCACCTGGGCATCATGCAGCAGCAGCAGGTATTGCTGCAAGGCCAGGCACTTTTCCTGGAATAGATCTAAGGTAGTGCTCTCTCTCTCTAAGCAACTACTAAAGAGAACACAGTCAATGGTTCAGTGAGCAGTGGCTCGCCCTGGAGGCAGAGTGAACCCAGGCTTGTGAAGGGATATATCAGAACAGTCCCTTCAGGCTGTCTCCCAGGTCACTCTTTGCCCAGCATTCACTGTGGCAATGTCTGTGCTGCAGACAGAGGGACAATTGTAGGACACGGAGCCCTATAGTCTAGTTAGTTCAGGGGTTTGTGGGACATACACGCCTGTCTGGAAACAGGAGGAGTAATTCAGGGGATAGCCCACACGGGAGCCTTAGTCTCCATGACCTCATGGAACTCAAGCCAGCTAGAGTGAGGCTAGGTCAGCTGTGCCTGGACATATGCAGTGGGTTCTGCCCTGTTTGCAGCACAAATGCAGCTTATGTTCCTCAGACCAGAAGCTCTTATGTCTTAGTTCCATGGCCCAGTCTGTTTCCTCTGTCTTCCTTCTCTCCATTCTAAATCCCACCTGGCCAGAGCTCTGCAGTCACCCCCTCCTGGAGCGGCTAATTGGCTGGGTTTGCAGCTTCTCCCTGATCTCCAGTTTGCATTAATAAAGCAGGTCTGCACCACAGGCAGCCTGAGGTCATCCAGCTGCTGGTCGCACCTGTCTGGGAAATCTTGCTCACTATTTGTGGGGGTTAGGAGGAGGGCACTGAATACTGCAGACTACTTGCCTCGGGGTCTTCATGTCCTTGTTAGAGGGAGGAGGGAAATGGATGTTTTAGCAGGAGTTGGTTGTTCCCAGCTCAAGCAGATTTCAAAGCCCTTTGCTGCCTTGCTGTGATGCCAACACCCAGCTCCACAGCACCTGTGGAGAGGAGGGCTGCAGCCAGCAGGGACTGACCTTCACACAGGCTGCCCTATATCTTCTGAGGCTCCCTCCATGTCCCCACTGGATCCATGGCTGCTCAGTGGCCTTGTGATAGTATTAGCTTGTACTGTAGCTGCTTTCACTGCTTGCTGCGACACTCTCTAGGGAGGTGCAGTGCTGTTCTCTCCTTTCTGTTGCTTTGGGTCTCTCAGGAAAGAGCCTGAGGCAATCCAGGAGGAAAATAAGCCATATCTGGCAAGCAAATGTGCATGCGTGCATCACGAGCGTGCCGTGTGGCATGCCATGCTCCAGGGAAGAACCACTTCTATGCCTAGTGCCCAAATACACCCAGGGTCCGATTTTCAGAATGGCTAAGGTTCTCTCAGCCATGTTTGAAACCCAGCTGCTTCTAGCACAGCTGAGTGCAGAATGGATGGAGAAATCCACCCACTCTTTTTTTTTCCCCCCCCCTGTGTACCAGTTGCCCACAAATGGGTTGCAAGATTTGTCAGATGGTTTTTGTTCAAAATTATTCACAATGTTCTCCAGCTGGTAATTTCTAGTCCATCATGCTCAAACCTAATATTTGCTTCTAAAGATTTGCACAGTATGGACTCAGTGAAGCCAAATTTCTTTTCCCTAAGTGAATAGCTATGTAACCCACAGACACAGGGAATGTTTCAGACAACCTGCTTGATTGTAAAACTCAGCATTTACACGATGTTGGTTAGCTCTATGATTAATCCCAGTCAAGGAGCAAAAGCAATAGCACGTACATTATGAAACTAAACAGCAACATGGATACCAAATTGTATTTTGTGTTGTATCTAGAGCGCTTGCCTTTCAAACTGTGCAAACTGTACAATTCCCAGGTACAACTGGCTTTGAGCAAATATGAAACCAAAAAAAAAAGTGTTCTTTTGTTGTGTCCTCCAGCCAGGAAACCTCAGACAGGCAAAAGTTTATGGATAGTGGATAGGTGGCAAGATGTATGTGAATCAGGATTCCCTTTCAAATGGTCAGTGCTCCTGGTGAGGAAACTTTCCCCCTTCACTCAGGTCTTGTATCAGATCTCCAGATTCGTGATGTTCTGGGTATTGTCTGAAGTGCGTGTGTGTTTCTCTGAGGACTCCAGATAACAAAATGAGCTTCTGTGCTAAGCAGTTGGAAACTTGGCAAACACAGTCATTCTAGCCTTATTTTTTTCCAATTTTAACTGTATCTAGTTGGGCATGAGCTGAAATAGCCGTGTTGGACTTGAATAGAAATGTTCTGTTGTCTGTAAGTCTGTAACAGCTGTGACCAAAACCCATCTGGTCCCACAGATCCTGGTTAAAACGATGATCAGGAAGCGCTCGTTTGGGAACCCATTTGAGGGGAGCAAGAGAGAAGAGCGATTGCTGTCTGCCCCTGGGAACATGCTGACGTAAGTGTCTTCATCTCTGTGAGGCGTGAGGGTTGGCACCGAGTAGATGGCTGCAGTGCGTCAGTTTTGTTTTTAAACTGTCCTGCCCCAGGGTATGAGCTGGTACCCTATACACATGTTGTCTCGTTCTTCCTCCCAGAGGAGCAGCAGCAAGGGAAGTGATTCCAGTAAGTTGCAGTCACTTGCTCAACTCTGCAGCTGAATACGGTACTCTGACATTCAGTAAGAGAGAAACTAAGTCCTCGCCTCCCAAGAACCTGCAGGAACCAGAGTGAGCCCAAGCCAAATGGCTCTTTATACACGTACATAGTGACAGCACAGGGTGATTAGGGGCCACATTCTCGGAGGCACCTGAGCTCCCACAGGAGACTGTGGGAACTGCAGGTGCATCAGAGGCTCAGGATTTGACCGGGCTGTTACCAGGCTTACTATGTCGGCATCACTAGTCCTCCTTCTCCAAGCTGGGGTTTAACAGCCAAGTCTGTGGGGCCTGATCCTGCATGGTGCTGAGCACCCTCCATTCCACTCTCCCTGCCCTGCAGGCGATACCCAGCCCCTTGCAGGTTGGGTCCTGTGTGTAGAACTTCCCCTCTGAACTGGTGCACGCACCAGGCCTGCTAACTCTGGTGTATCCTTCAGTACTTGAGCATCCCACAGGGAGAAAGCTTTGTAATGGTAGCCCAGTGAAGCCCACACCAAAACGTCCCTGGTAACTGGAACTTGCTCATGGGCAGGGTCAAGACTGATTTCTTCAGGGACACGTGGTCGATACTGCTTCTGGGAGCCCTGGAAAGCCAGCACGGCTGAGACCTGCGCGAGCAGAGTCAAGTCCTTTTTTGACTCCTCTCATTGAGGGGAGGCAGCCTTGGATACTGCTGTCATCTCCTCTACTCCATGCTCATTCTGACCTCCCTTTTTCCCTCCCCCAATTCTAGAAAAAACAAATCGAGAAATTTGAAATATTGCATCAGTCAAAGGTAAAATCCTGTTCCCTAGCAACACTGCCTCCTGGCCTTCATCTGCACAACAAGGGCTTGGGGACCTTCACAGATAATGTGTGATGCAGTGCAAGAGAAGCTCTCATCTCTGGGCTGCATTCCCTTCATCCTCCTAAGCTGCCTGTGGAACGAGTTATAGTTATGTGTTGAAGGAGCTCGTTCCTGGGGTGTAACAGGGTAGTCACTGGGGGGAGAATCTGGGGTGGTCTGTTCACCAGCACAGGGCCTGAACACACTCCTCAATTGCACTTGTTCCATCCAGTGAAGCCCAGAAGCTCTGGAAAATTGCACTGTAATGGGATGGTCCTGGCAAGCACTAATGGAGCTTTCTCAGAGTGGATCACGCATTATTAGAAACTGGAGAGGTGGGGAGGGTGAATAACAAAAGGTCTTCTGGCTGCCTGCCTTGACTGATGGCCATGCATGAAGTCCTCTTCTGTAAGAGGGAATGCCCTTATATGCATCTCCCAGCTTAAAAGAAGCACGGTCAGTTCCAGTAATGGGGGACACGCACTGAATAATGCCAGTAAACTCCATGGGCAGATGGGAGGTGTGTGCAGCTTTCTGTATCCGTGGCAGTTGCAAAGGATTGTTACTCTCTAGAACTAAAGTTTTACTTTGGGGAACTGCTAGTGAGAGCAGCTTCATGCTAAACCCATGCTAATAAATTAAAACTAACATTGGCCTCTGCTACTCCCTCCTCTTCCTTGCTTGAAGCAGATTTTTTTCCTGTTGGACTTGTTCCATTTATAACAGGACCCCAAATGGCTTCTTTCGTAGTCCAGGAGTGGAACCCAGTCCCACTGAAGTCAAAACATGTACCATGCTTGTGACTTCAGTGTGCTGCATTTGTAACTGGGGTGGGGACAGAGGTGAGACCTTTCTGTTGGAATAAACCAGTCCAGTGAAATAGTAACACACACCAATATGGAGAGAGATGATTTACTGCCATTTTTGAGTTGCTTCAAACCTCACATGCTGGCAGATTCATTGTGGGTCACTTCCAAGTTGCGATACAAAGGCCGTGTCCTTGGAGTCTCCTGTTGCCATTGTCTGGCAATGGGAGGATTGTCATTGCTTTAATCCCCCAGAGCAGCCTAGGTGTTGGGTTGGTTTCTCTATAAACCTCAGCCCCAAGTCTTGCAGGATCCAGTCTTCAATTGGAAAGTCTCCAACAGTTGCCTGATGAAAATGCTGCTGCTGGGCAGGGCACCAGTATGACACTGGCTTTCCCCATTCCCTCTTCTCCCTCTGTCAGTATGGAAAGAGGTGTGTTTGTGTGATGCGACTTCCCCCCCCCCCCCCAAGGTCTGGTACATGTTTGATTACAGGAAGCTCAGCTGAATGACGTATTTGAGCCAGATACTTTCTGTAGCTCTTTTCTCTCCTGGGCACATCTGGAATGTGAGTAAGTAAACCTCTGAGGATCCACAGGACAGCAGACTTGCACCAGCCCCTCTGCTGCGGTTTGTTCCACAGGGACCATTGACACCTGCCCAGAGGGACTGATCGTGGCCTGTGCCCCAGCTGTAGAAGTCCCAGAGAGCACTGTTTGGAGACATGAAGTGGCAATTAAGTTGTGTTGACCTTGTGCTGGGCTTCTGCGCAGGGGCAAATTTTCCCCCGTGTGTGTCCTGCTGACTTCAGTTGGAGTCTGTGTA